AAATTATATTATGCTCCTTCTCTTAATTCTTTTTCTAAACTTGATCCTTTTAAAAATTTGTCCTTGCGGCATCAACTGCTGTCTCTGTCGCCGAGATCTCGATTTCGTGCACCTCGGGCTTTCCCATTCAGAGAGCATCGGCCTCACCTCTATTCTGTTAAATCGATTAGTGTCGTCACAAATCCCTAACACTTCGCGAATGTGAATGAACGCCGCCGATAACCATTGGACTCTTCTCCCTTACGCCCATTCCTCGCTCGCTCAGGTTTTGTTTGGTACCGCTTTATTCTTGCTTTTTAAAACGGAATTCTAGTATAAAAATTTTAAATTCAATACATTTTTTTAGTAGAAGCTGTTTAAAAATTAGTATAAAAATTATCCCAAACAAAATCTCAATAGTTCGGCTTTATCTTATAATTTCTTGCCGTTTTGAAGGTTGGGCCTTTGGCCAAAATTGGCCAATGTATAAATCATTTTGAACCTTTTCATTTTGTTTATTTAGTATAATTGCAATTCAGCTTGACAAACTCACCAAATATTAGTTGGAGTTAGTAATCTTTCTCAAATAATTTAAAGGAATTGTTCGGCCGACTATTGCTTAGCATGTAAGTGAGTCGAGTCAACTCGTGAGTCTACACATATTTGTTTTGATAAATAGTTTCTAAGTCAAATTTGATAAGCTAAGGAATCAAACTGGAGCTACCTCTAACTCGATTTGTTACCTCGAGAGTTAGCTTATTTTAAAAAATATATTAATGTAGGCAACAATTAAAAATATTCAAATTAAGAATTTTATGTATAAAGTTGTGAAAAATGTTTTAAAGGTTATATCTCATTTTCTTATAATAAATAATTCTTTACTATTTATATTCTAATTTATCATTTTTTATTATTTTATTATAATTATTATTCGAATTATAATTGTTGTGTCCTGGAGTATTTGCAACGGTAGAGAAATATATAGTTTAACGTCTTAGCATTGTACGAAGATCCAGTACACAAGCAGATTAGATAGAGGGTGTAGCATTCATAAGAGACATCAGAGTTTTTACATGGAAACCCCTGAAAAGGTAGGGGTGTCAATTTCGGGTCACGGGTCGGGTTCGGGTCAAACCCGAAATTGACCCGGCACTGTTCGGGTTCGGGTCAACCCGAACCCGCTTGTTTCAACCTTGGCAACAGGCGCGACGCTGGGGCGGGGCGGGGCGGTGCGACGCGGGGCTAGCCAGGCGACGCGGGGCGACGCAGGACTGCTCCGGGTCAAATCGGGTCATTCCCGGGTCAACCCGAACCCGACCCGGTTTTGCAAACGGATCAATTTTTCAAACCCGAACTCGACCCGTTTCGGATTCGGGTCAACCCTAACCCAAAATTTTCGGGTCGGGTTCGGGTCGGTTTTTCGGGTCTGGTCCATTATTAACAGCTCTATGAAAAGGGGGAAAAACTACAGGGTCTGACCCAGTTTGAATGAATCCACTAGTATTTGCAGTCGATTACAAATGAGGCCCTTCCTTGGGAGAAGGCCTTGGCTTGATGTCACAAATGTACATCATATAGAGTGCATTACATGGTGGGAGTTACAATAATTAACATAGATGTGTTTGTTTGTTGGAAGGACCATAGTTGGCACGAGACGGGGGTTCGAAAGATCGTAGTTGGCAGGAGACCGAGGTCAAAAAGACCGTTGTCAGTTGATGGAGGTCAAAGAGACCATTGTCGGCAGGAGACATGGGTCCGAAAGACCGTAGTAGACAGAAGACCGGGGTCAGAAAGACCGTAGTAATAAGACAGTACTCTGGGAGTCAGGTGGTGATCTAGCGGAGCACCGACGTCAGGCCGTGGGCCGACGGAGGTTGAGGTCCTCAAGTGGTGGTTTGGTGGAGCTCATGGCCTCTAGTGGTGGTTCAGAGAAGTCTGAGCCTCAGGTGGTGGTTCGGCAGAAGTTTCGACCTCAAGTGGCGGTCCGTTAAAACTCCGGCAGTGGTCCGGTGAAACTCTGGTGGTGGTCCGGCAAAACTCCGACGGTGCTCGAGGAGGAGGTTCTTCCTTCTCTTCTCTTCTTCTCTTCTTGCTTGGTTTCCTCCCCCCCCCCCCC